GGTTCCGGTTGCCATTCCCTTATTCCGAGTCAGCTATCCTAGCTATCAGTTCAAATGGCTAGCATAGAAAGGTCTATAATAATTTCACATCCGTACATAATGAACTGCAGCTGTGATTTTCATGACATTTTTAGGCTTTCCTTGGCATGTGCAAGGCAGAATAAAAGGCACCTGGATTACAGGGCCATTGCAAAAGAAGATTCAGAGCTCAGCCTTGCTTAGGTATGCCAGACTGGTTCCCTGCAGAAGCTACCTGTCAGTATTGACTAGGGAGGCTTTAAGGTGTAATGAATCAGATGGCTTCACCCCGTCTTTGGTGGCACTCATCCTGTTCTACTGAAGGTAGTGGGAAACATCACATGGATTTATGATCAGGCCCCATATTTTCACTGGTGCACATTATTTTTCATACCCCTGATTCTGATGCTCATTTGTTCAAGAAAGGTGGGGGTTTATATGCTGAGTACAGATACATTCATATAGGAGGGGCAAACAGTAGGTTTATATTCCACTAATAACAAGCAGTTGCTGCATTTTGGTATTTTACTCCACACATAGACAATTGAAATTTGCATCACAAATTATTACAGTAATGGCATCCAGAATATGAGTCTTTAAAGTGTAGAACAAAACCTTTAAATCCCCACTTCTTGGTTTCACAAACTAAATACTGAGCCTGAAGGTAGGATAAAACAGTGAGTGAGCTAACCAGATGAATTATAGGCATTACTATTTTCAGAGCACTCAAAGTAAATTCTGACCCAGATACACAGCTGTGAGGTTCTGACCCTTTACTGATGCCCTGTGGCCAGGATGTATTTCAGTAAATCTTTGTGACCACAGCCTGGAAATAGCTGTAATTTCTGGTGCTCTCTAGCACTTTTTTAGCCACAAGCCAGCAAGCAAAGCCTTGTTAATCTATATTCAACATTCATAACTGTGAGAAATCAAAAAGGGAAGAGGTTTTGTTCAGCTGTCTGCATTGCCCTAACAGTTCTTTGTACATGCATAGAGTGACTGTCCTTGCAAAGATTTTGAATATGCTGCTTTTCACATCCAGAACTCCATGCAGGGAAAACATGGCATTGAGCACAGGCAAGCAGCATCACAGAGTAATATTTTTAACCTATCAAATCTGAGCAGAGCTGAGGAGGCATTCTAGGCTGCAAGAATGGGACATGCTGTAAGAAGGCATTTCAGTCAGCTTTGTGACACAAAGAGAGGAGAATCTTTTTTTGCTGCAGTGTTCATGTGTCCTTGCCAGGCTTCCTAGTTGTCAGGGTTTTGTCTCTGTAGTCTGCACCAGTGTTCTACACTGTTGTGTTTTACACTGTTGCTGCCCATTAATAAGGTAGCTTTCAAGGCCCAGCCTCAAAAAAGCCAAATACCATCATAGAATGATTTGGGTTGGACTGGACCTTAAAGCTCATCCAGTTCCAACCCCCTGCCATGGGCAGGGACACCTTCCACTAGAGCAGGTTGCTCCAAGCCCCGTCCAACCTGGCCTTGAACACTGCCAGGGATGGGGCAGCCACAGCTTCTCTGGACACCCTGTGCCAGCGCCTCAGCACCCTCACAGGGAAGAATTTCTGCCTAGTATCTAATCTCAGTCTCCCCTCTGTCAGGTTAAAGCCATTTCTATTTGTCCTGTCCCTACAGGCCCCTGTCCAAAGCCCCTCTCCAGGTTTCTTGTAGCCCCTTTAGGCACTGGAAGCTGCTTTAAGGTCTCCCCAGAGCCTTCTCTTCTCCAGGCTGAACAAATCCAGCTCTCTCAGCCTGGCTCCTTAGCAGAGGGGCTCCAGCCCTTGGATCATCTTCTTGGCCTCCACTGGCCTCACTCCAGCAGGTCCATGTCATTCTTATGTTGGGTATGAGACCAGAGAAGTAACAAGCATGACTTTCTCCTTGGTCCCCAGGTAAAAGGTGACACAAGCTAGGTCTAGAGTTGACTTGGAAAACTCTGAGAAGGCCATTGTCAGACAGTAATAGCTGTCCTACAGCAGAAAGTCAAGTCCACCTCTTACAGAGCCATTCTTGAAAAGCTGCTGGTTTTAAATTGGGTGGGGTTGGGGATTGGTTTGGGTTTAGGGTTTTTTTGCTTCTTTTTAATGTGGAGTACTATTTTGCATTTGATTCATGACAATCCCTGTTACCGTTCCTATCCCAACTGCTAGCACAGCACCAGTTCAATTGCCGTAAAGCCTGCTGAGTTCTGTATCTTTTATATACACACCTCCAGACAGAATATCTTGCTGAAGCTGTGCTCAGCCACACGTGTGCCATACTGGCAATGTTTTTCACAGGAGATGAAAAAGTAATGTAGAAAGAAGACAAGTTCTGAGTGTGAGTGAGTGTATGGCTACCAGAATCATAATCACCTGAAGAAGAGAAGAATCAATACTGACATTTCACTGCTGTTAAATCAGCAGCAAAGGAGAATGAGGACTCTGAGGTCTACAACACTGGCCCAGAACTGTTATGAGATTGTGTAATTTTTATAAGAGAAACGGGTTTTTTTATTGCTTATTGCCTTTTTTCTCCAGTCTTTCAATACTCCTGAACCTAGGCAGAATGAGAATGTACAAAAACACAAGTAACTGAGTGGGGAGAGCAGGACTGGGGGGATGACCATAGAATTGCAGCCTTCAAAATAAGTTTGTCAGTTCTGGGTAAGTGTGCGTTTTGTGTGGAAGTTCTGGATCAGTTTCTGCTTCATCCCTTTTCCAGTTGAAGCTGGACAGTTTTGTAGAGTATGTGCAGCTCACACTGGGGATGTGCCTCTTGCTTCATCAAATTGTTTCAGATGATCCTCAGTTCCTGTTCTTGGTTCCTCTGCAACGCAGGCCCAACCTGTATGTACCTGCAGTCTGTCAACAGAGGACAACCTCACTGGATATTGATGTAGAAATAGGCACTGCTTTCTGAAGAAAATGATGTTACTGCCATATTCATTTCCCCAAGGCTTCTGCCTTGAAAGGGCAGTTAGCGGAGGGGCCCTTCATTATGCCTCGTGGCTGTCTCCCAAGAGTCATCTTCTTAGATAGCATTTGAAATATTACAAAAGAGGGTCATGCAGGGAAACCTCCACCACATTTCAGCAGCAGGGTTTGTGCTGCATTTTATTCAGGCAGTTTGAATGGTTTTCTGAATCAAGGGCGTCTGTGAGAGCTTCAGGAAGAAGATCCGCTTGTGACCTCAAAGTAGATAGTTTTTTCACTGATCAGCCCTCAGCATTGCCAAGTCCTCTTATAGCTACATTCATTATAGAGAAAATGATCTTTTAGCATTTTCTAGTGTTTCCTAGTAGTTCAAACAGCCTGCTCCTGTGAGGTGCTGAGCACTTTGCAGCCCTGCTGCAAGGACTTCAGCTTCGTTCAGCAAAGAACGTAATGTGCATCAGCCTCTTTGCTGAACTGGAACTTCAGGGGATTCAATTGTTCCTGTTGAGGGCCTAATACACTCGCACAGCTGAAGTGAGCCTTCCACTTATGCTTCCTGTTAAAAGAGGTGGTGTGCACAAGAGGAGAATTTCAAGGCTCATTACAATAGTTTGTATGCCTGTAATAATGCAGCTATACTGAAAATGATTTTCTCAGCACAAATCAAGTTAAACATACAGGACATCCTTTGCTGTTATGAAACCCCTTTGGACAAAAAAAAAGTCTTAGCATTTCAGAGAGCAGTTTAGGTAAAACTTTCTTTGTAGCAGTGAGCATTTGAAGTAGCAATTCATCACATTTACAGCTCTGGAAAAAAGGGCTGGCTCTGGCCAGCAGCTCTGCTAGCGCCATAACCATGCCATTGGTACAATATCTGCCCAAGGAGCAGGTTGTGTGAGCTAGAAGCAAAGGCTGAAGAAGAATAAATTAGCTGTTGTAGGGATAGTTTTAAGCCAGTCTTGGTAATACGGCTACAGCATGTACTGCTGTAGATCTGTCGGTGCTAATGCTTATTTTCAATGCTGCTGTTAGTGGCAGAAGGCTTCACAGTTTGGGAAGTATTTTCAGGTTAGGGCCCTTCACTTGTAATCCAGGAGTACTTAAGTTGAGTCTACTGCGAAATATAGTTGTTAAAGTGAATTGCCTCTCCCATAACTGTTTCAGCCTGATTTAAGGTTTCTCCTATAAAATGTCAGTTGTAAATCTATCAGAATGATCAAATTATTTATGGCACCTTGGGACCACAACTTGACTCCATGTTTTATATGGCCGCACAGTAACAGTGGCTATGATATTTTGAGATTTGGAGAATTTTAACAGGGTAACAGGGAAACGTAAAGCTTTTGCAGCACTAACTTTAGCAAAATTCTGGAAAGGAGCATCACTAAAATCTATTATAATTTTATCTGTCATCTTGTCTCTGCTCAGCTACTCTGAATGCAGTTCAGGTGTGTCTTGCCTTGTGCCCACTGAATTGAGCTCCCTAGTTTATTTTATCTCCCATAAGGCCATACTGGTTATGCAGTTCCCATGAAGGATTGTGCTAGCAGTGGATAACTTTCTAGCATTGTGTCCAGTCCTATTTCAGATCTTTCAGGTGCTGGAATTGCCATCATTCCTTTGTGAGGACCTTCCAAATGCACTCAGGTTTGCTGGTCAGCATTGCTGGTTTTTGTTCTCCTTGAAAGTGTTTGCTTATTGTGTCTCTTAAATCTCTCTTTCTTGTATCTCATTATTTGGAGCATTATCTACTGCTAGACTTCAATGAAAATAAATCTAACGCATGGTTCTTCTCATCTGTAGTATTGATAGGAGACACCTTCTGTATGACTCAAAGGAAATCTTTGTTCTGTGAATCCAGGTACTCACCAGTAAAGTGGAGATTGTCCTTTTCATTCCTACTAGGAAATAGTGAGGCTCTGGACCTAATTATTGGTGAAGCGCTTAATGCAGCAGTAGAACGTGCACAGATTAGTGCCAGTCAAGTCAGTAGTAATGTGTTTAATCCAAAAGGTGGCAGCATGTTGAATTTCTCTTTATTTTTTCCTTCTTACGTTCAAGATGTTGGAGCATTTTTTGAAGAGGGAATGTGGCTTCGTTACAACTTCCACTCCCCAGGGACTAGCATGAAGGATTTAGTGAGCCGAACACTTTTGAGTTCTCCAGATACCGAGACCACAGAGCCTGACCTGAACTTGAATAAAGAAGAGCTCAGCTTCAGCTTCAGTACCACCAAGTCCCCTTGTGTTTTATTGTACATCAGCTCCTACACCCAGGACTTCATGGCTGTGCTTGTCAAGCCGTCTGGTAAGCAGCCTCTCTGGGCTCTCCCCATTGAAGGCACAATTGATAATAACACCAGGTTGACATTAAACTGAAGATCTGAACTAATGAGAAAGTCTTTTCAGCTTTGTCATGTAAAAATAAAGTACACAGGACCTTAACCTCTGTTTTTTGTACTGATGTAGTGGGTTTCATTAGTCAACCCTTCCTCTCAAAGCAAAATGGGGAAAACAAGCAAACACAGAAAACAAACCCACAAAAAACTGAAACCAAACCCCCACCCATAAAAAGCCTACTAAAACAGTCCGATCTGTGCCATGAACTAACATTATGGAGGGAACAAATAGGCATCCACATGTGGGTATCTGAATCACTGAACTCATGGCAGTAGTCAGTGGAAAGTGCAGTGCACTGTTCCTTCTGAATATCTGGATACCCACTGAGGTGGCTAAAATATGGATGTAGGATAATATGTAAGGTGCTGAAACATTTTGGTGATGGTTGAAGGTTGGATATGGGTCATTTGCTGTTACAGTATTAAAGCTGTATATAAACTGAATATACTTTGATTCCAAATAGTGCGTTAGTGCCCAGCGAAAATCGTAATTAGGATGATTTTGTTACCATTATCTTTTATGGGAGAAGTTAATATGAGTATTGCACATGCCGCTCATTTTTTTCCCTTCATGGGGAAGAAAGAAGGTGCCCGAGAGAAATCCCACGTCAAACATCTAAACTGTAGGTAGCAAAGGCTGGAGCTGCTCTTCTGGGACAGAGTATTTCTGGGTTTGATGAATAATGGGTCTGCATTTCCCTTTGCAAACATTCTTCTTTCTTTTTAATCAAATATTAAAATCACTTAAGAAGAGCGGACACTTCAATTTTGTTTGGGAAAGAAAAATCTGTCTGTTAAAATGTCATGAATATCAATTAACCACTTTCAGCTATACTTTTCTAACACTGTAACCTCAGGTTTTCATTTCACCATATATTGTTAAATTTCCATAAAAGTCCAGACGGTCACCTGTCAACAACAATTAAATGAGAAAGCAGGAAAGTCCCTTGTGTAGATTATGTGTCAGTGTTGATTTGTTGTAATTCTGCCTTTATTCAGAGCATATCAATGGTTTATTCTTTCATGCTTTGTCTAACTTCAAAGAATTTTATTGCAGCAAGGATAGTAATCTCAACAATAAAGCGGTACTTGATGCGTTCAAATTTGTACCAGTTGTCCATATTGTTCAAGGCACAGCTCTGATTTGTTTGGTTTGCAGTCTGGAGTGTTTGCAAACACTAGTTTTGAATGCTGGTCATTGGCACTCTTCTGGGTTATAAACTAGAAGCAGTTTCCAGCCCAGTAGCTTTATAATCTTAAACAGTAGCTCCTCTCTTACTGCAGAGACCATCTCTTATAGCAGTTTAAGTGTAGAACGCTAACAGTTGTATGTGAAAACAAAGAGAGGAAAATAGCTGGTGAATAAAGATCAAAATACCTGAGGGTGCCTTTCACATTTCTTTCACTAGGGAATCTGCAAATTCGATACAGCCTTGGAGGCACCAAAGAGCCATATAACATTGATGTCGACCACAGAAACATGGCTAATGGACAGCCCCATACTGTTAACATCACACGAAATGGACGGGACATAGTACTGCAGGTAAGTAGTAGATTGTTTGGTTCCATTACCTGTAGCTTGTAACATTTTGTATCTTGGTGGTCTCCGTTCCTCTGAAGACATCAGTGCAATTTAGGAAATAAAAGGTACGGTAGGTGGGATTCTGCTTGCAGATCACACTCCTAGGAGTTAACAGGAGCTATTCTCTCCCTCTGTTGCGACAAGTTACGTTGTTCTGAAATCCTCATTCTAGCGTGATGACAGCTGGGCTAATGTAGGTGTCAGCATAGATGCTTGAGGGCATCAGAGTCATCTGGGCTGATGGATAACATAGGACTGAAGATAAACCTGCAAATTTAAATTTACCCTGCAGTCCAGTGAAATCAGAAGAGCTGTTCTGCAAAAATGAGCTGATGCTCCTGTGTCAGGAGTCTGAGACAGAGTAGTATAGAAGGCACATAGCTCTGGCTTATTTAGGTTTTGGTGCAGCACAGGCAGGAACTTCATCTCTCCATATATCAGTTTACAAACCTTTGAGATAGCATAATACTATTTAAATAACTGAGGGGAATGCTGCAAAAAGCAGTCAATGTTCCCAGGCAGCTTTTTCATTGTGGTCATTACAGCACTATTTTCATTCCCTGGTTGTCACATCTGAAAACACGGAGATTGCAGCAGGGAATGAAAACAGTTTTGTTGGCAGGAGGGTCTGGTGGATGGGATAGATTAATGTGGATTTGACAGTTCATAAGAAGCAAACCAAAGCCAAGAACAAATGAAAAACAAAAAGGGGAAGTCTCCTCAGAAACCAAGCCAAAAGGTGAAGGATGGCAACTGTCATGGTATTATCTACCTAAAGATTAAAATAGATCCCTGACAGTTATTGCTTGAACCTATCAAAAGGAAACCTTTTCAGTGCATTACAGTGTTATCTGACTAAGGCTTTTGGTACTCAGTATAACACTGAATGCACTGAAATAATTGTCATAAAATAACTTGCAAAAGTCCAGATAATCTAAAAAATATTCAGGTGATACATCCAAACACTTTCCAGGCCTTTGGAGGTTCTGAGGGGTATCAGTTGATATATGCATGTTTTTTCCACGCTGTTGCATTTGGATTTATTTCTCTTACTGCTGTTAGGTTAGGTACAGTTAGGTTCCCTTCTGCTGTTGAATGATTCTGTGTTGTGGAGGTATGGCATATGGCAGCTGTAAAAGTAAAGAAATGATTTTCTGAAGGGATCAGGTGAGATACCTTGCCCGGTTGGAATATGTGGACACAGTTAAGAATGCCAGGCTTGCATCATCTTACCTACTTTTGGGGCCTAACCCTTTTTTTTCCCCACTGTTTTGTGAGACCACTGCATATCTATGGCTCTGAAGAGACAGAAACATTTTTGTTAGTATTGCTCTGCAGGGGTAAAAATTCCTTAATCTCGTCAGTGTGCTTAAAACACAGCAGGTTTTGTAATCAGAACGCTGATACAATTGGGGCTTATTACATGAGACAATCTGCCTGATGCACATGCAAGGATAGGGAAAGGAGGGACCCATACAAAGCAAATGCAGAAATCCTACCCCTACTGTATCCTGAAACAGAAGGTTTCTATCAAGTTTTGTTTGTCCTCCACAAGGAAGTTGATTTTGTTGCCTATCTGGTTATGTTCTGTAAATGAAAGAACTGTTATGACCAGAAATGGATCTGTTAAGTAGGTTGCTCACTTGAAAATGAGTCCTGTTTTCAAATATGAACTCTTCATAGTGTCTGAAAATACAGAAGATATAAATGCAGTTTTTCTCAGCATCCAGAGGACACTTTATAAAGAATGAGTTTTCTCTTACAGATCAGAGCAATGAACATTTGAGTAGACTTTTATTTCCTGTTAAATCCTTCTCCAGCCTGATGAGCAGCTGGTTTGCTTGCTTTTAAAGAAGACAGCTTGCTTGCCAGGTGCTGTTGCTCACACTTCCACATCTCTACATGGCATAAAAGTGTCACTAGAAGGATTTATTTCTCATCAAAGCTTCAATTCAAGAGCACTCAGTATTTTTGAGATCTTAACAGCATGTTCATACTTAGAATACCTGTCTTTCTAACTTACTGTAATAACCCTGTGGTACCAGAGAGATTTACAAAATCTGCAGCCAGGCAATAAATTGCTGCCATATGAACTATGTGAACTGGTTTTATCATGATTTTCAGGAGTTTCACTTATGTATAAATACAGTAAAGGACTCATTAGTGAACTCTGTGAGACCTCACCCCGTGCTAGCAGCACTGATTTCTTACATAAAATCAGAATTACTGTCCCATCAACAAGAATTTGCGGTGAGTTTTGAAATAACCCTATGCACAATATTGAATACCCATAAGGTAACAAACAAGCGCAAGAACAAATATTTATTGTGAATTGTTTTCATTAGAATGACATCCCTATTCCTACCATACCAAGACAGTCAAGACTAAAGGTAGTAGCAAAGACTCTGTCAAAAGACTTCTGTATTTCAGTTTTCTGCATTCACTGACATTATTTGACAAATCAATAATGACTTCTGCATTAAGTAACAAGCTCCCATTAGTGATGCCAGTGGTTTCTCAATGTTAAGATTAAGGATATAAGTTGATTTAGGTGTCAGGAAAACAAAATAACAAATTCAGGGGCCAAGATCTGCTCATTTTCTGTAATTTCCATCAGGTGGGTAAAATAAACAATTAATAATTCCTATCTCTTGCCTCTAGTAAAATACCAGATACTAGTAACTATGGCACACCTCCAAGGCTGCATTAGTTCACCTGCGGCAAGAAAAAGCCTAGACCGGCAGATGAGGAATGTATTATCCCGGAAAATGACATTTCAGGAGCTGAGCTTTAGGTCATAAGGGGCAATTTTTACTTTGTTTGACTTCACTAAAAGGTTTCATGCTTCAGCAGCGTGTTTTCCATATCATAAAAACCAGATCACTCTTTAGCAAGTGTTCATGGGTGATTAGCACTGTTCACACACTAGTGAAGTCTTTTAAGAAAGCCAAGGACAAAGACTCCCTAGCAGGGGTTCTGATCCAAAGCAATGAAATCAATGAAGGGTCTTCCATTGACTCCAGCAGGCTTTAAATAGTACTGTAAAGAACAGCAGTAGTTGTATCCTAGTGCAAGACTCCTATCTCCTACTTCTGTGCATGTTCCCAGAGTAAAATAAGGGCTGAATCTGGACCAGAGGCATTTCTGTGGTATTGCACAAAGCTGTATCAGCACTTTACAAAGAGAAAGAAACAAACCATATGATGCCCTTTAATCTTCAGTGAAACGAAGCTGGTAGTCAACAGACTTGGACTGGGCCTCTCAGCTTCTGTACTAAGATCTTGTACATTCTCAATGGATCTCCAGTTCTTCACACCTCCTTTAATGCCATTTCTAGGAAAGGGCTATGAGATGCGGCTTCTAATGCCTTCTTTGCTCCTGAAAAGGATTAGACCTGAGCAACTGCTTCAGAATTCCAGTGGCCCAGACCCATCCATATACTTTCAGGACAACTGTGTGCAGCCGGTGCACATCAGATCAGATGACTGTATGGAAGGATAGCTGACAGTTCTTTCTTTCAGGCTTGAACAGTAGGGAGAACTGTGGTAGAGAGGCAATACACAATCCCATGTATTAACAATAGCAATTCCTGTCTCCATTCAAAGTGAACTTAATTATGAGGCTTAATGGAAAACCTGGCCTGAGCTCAGCTGTTGATACCGTTGAAAATAATCCAGAAAATGTATTTGTACAGATGTCCATTTTGCAGCTTCACCAGAGGCAAACAGTAAAAACACCCATCTTCTACAGAAAATAATCAGTGAAACATTTGACCCTTACCCGTATGAAGCCAAGAAGAAACAGAATTTTTCTCTTATTTTCATTTTGAACTCTACTACTTGAAAAGAGATCACATTTGCAAACCCCTAGGTGCATAAAAAATGTAAATCATACAAAGTTAATTCAGAACGGATCTGAAGTGCAAAATAAAACGGTAAACATAATAGCAGTAAAAGAAAATGGGTGAGGTTAAGCAAAGCAGTCTGCATGTAATCCCAAACTTAAATGCAGTGAATATAGCCACAATTTGTATAATTGCAGATTAAATTTGCGTCTCATTAGAGGGAGTGGCAACTTTCTCATGGATTCAGTGAGGCTGTGATTCCACCTCCTATCATTATTTTTGCTGTAAAATCATACCTAACTGTCATTTTTCATGTACTTTGAAGCGTCGACGGAATGTGATTGCTCTGTTTGAGCTCTTGCTAAACAGAGACCATAAAATTTCACCAAATGATTTTCAGCAGCTAACCCCAAAAGTAATGATAGCAGTGTAACACATTTTCTTGAAAGACATTTTATCTAGCTTTAAAGACTTCAGATGATAGAAAAGTTACCCTTTCCTTTGGCCATCTCTTCCAGTGGTTAAGTGCCATTCCTATGGAGAATTTGCACCTAATTTAGTTTGAATTCTGCCGACTTCAGCATTTAACTTGGGGATCTTTGTGGCTATTCCTGATAGATGAAAGAGTTTTTTGGTGTCAGGTGTCATTCCCCTTCACACTTTCTGGGAGATGCTGATTAAAACATCTTTCATCTTGTCTATAAGAGGCTAAATAAGTTGAACTATTTTAGTTTACCATCAGAAGTCTGCCATTTTTGAGCCATAAAACAGTTTTAGAACTCTTCTCTGAAAACTCTCCCATTAAGTCACATTTTGAAAACCTTTACCTTATGATACAGAAATACCTTACTTATTTATTATTTGCTTCATTTTCTGGGCAAACATGCTGCCACAGCATCCTTTGTACACTGCTGTATATTGTCTAGACTCCTGATTCATTTAAACTTGAGAAGAAACTTCTTCTCAGTGAGGGTGATGGAACACTGGAACAGGCTGCCCAGGGAGGTTGTGGAGTCTCCTTCCCTGGAGACATTCAAAACCCACCTGGACTAGACTCCTGATTCATTTGAAGACTGATTTAACTAGCATTGCACTGACTGGTAGGGAATGGGGAGAT